GTAGCTATCATCAGCTCAAACACATGAGAACTGATTTTGTGTCTATTGTTGGCTGTGGCGCTGCACAGTCTCTGAGGCAACACTAATAGGCAAGTTCCAAACCTGTGGTGGCACTGCTGATATGGGGCCCTTTAATACCATCTTGTACCTAAACACCACACACACACACATACGCACACACGCACATACACACACACACCATAAATTTGGCGACAGATTTTAAACAAGCACATCAGAATGTATTCCACTACCCCAGGAGCTATCTTATTTTCATAAGAAAGGCTATACCTTGATTCTAGAGGTCTTTCTAGTGTTTCTCACATGACGACAACTACCCTTCAAAAAAAAAAAAAAAAACTATCGCTGTTGGGTATGTTGGGACATGCCTATAATCTCAGAAATCTTGGAGGCTGAGACAGGAGGATCACAAGGTCCAGCCCAGCCTGAGTAACTTAGTGAGTTAGTGAGACCCTGAGTCAACATAAAAAATTTTTTAAAAAGTTGGAAATGAGCTCAGTATGAAGGCCCTGGGTTCGATTCTCAGAACAACAAACAAAACAAAACAGATGGACACACAGACACAAACACACACACACACACACACACACACACTCACACACACGTTGATTTGGGTATATACAGTGGGAAGTTTGTTGAAAACAGAAAGGAGCTGGCTGTGGTGCACACCTGTGGTTCCTGCACTTGGGAGGATGAGGCAGAAGAACTGAGTTTGAGACATGAGTTTGAGACCAGCCTGGGTTACATAAAAGAGTTTAAGGCAAGCCTGTATTACATAGCAAGGATCTGCCTAAACAAAGAAAAGAGAAAAATCTCAGGTTTATAGTTACAATACAGTTATGTGTCTATTAAGACTTGAAGAGGCTACAAAAATGATGTAATTATACCTAAGGAAGTGCTATGGAATGTTTGTCCATATAAAATTTCCTCAATTTTCTTTTTTTAGTGAGCACAATTGATACTAAATTGGAATAAAATAAGCCCAACTTACACAGTCCCAAAGAGAATGTGTTAATCCCAAAGAGAATGTGTTCCAGAGCAGGGAGCGGCAATGCTCAGCAATGCATTGCTGTGATACATCAACCACAGGACTTCCCAGGCTCTACCTGCACCTGAGCTATGGACAAAGTATGTTTGGGTGCTGTGGAGGCTTATTTTTGATGACTCCTCTATCAGAAGGATGGCAGCTGGCCTGACCATGCTCTTTCTAAGGCCATCTGATATACACAGGCTTGGGAATCCAGAGAGTTGATGGGGCTAAGGGAAGTTCTTCTCTTACATACAAGTGTGCAAATACCAGCGCCCTCCAGAATTCAATGGGGATGGAATTGGAGGCAATAAAACCAATCACACACTTCATAAGGAATACACCAATGATTATAATCAGCATGAGTGCTCAGGAACATTAGAAGCTTTATAAAGACATACTATTCTCTACAAATCAATTCTAACACATCTCTCTTGTAAAAGAATTATCCAGTGAGTTTTAAATTCTTTCAAATTTTTGCTTGAAAGGTGCCATGACACTGTCAAATAGTTACTGTTCTGCGGCTTTTTGGTTATGTATTTTGTAGGACCCAAATACTGCAGAGGAAAAATAGTTCTTGAACATGTGTCTTGGTTACCTTTTTCTCATTGCTGAGACAAAATATCCAACACCTAAAATTAAGGAAGGAAAGGTTTATTTAGCTTACAGTATGTAGACATTTCAGTTTATGGCTCCAAGGCAGGGTGCCATGGCAAGGGCAACCCTTCAAAGCAGCAGAGGGCAGCACAAACAGCCAGAGCAAAAGTCGGTAGAGCAAGCCTCTTTTCCTCCCTTATATTATAAGTGAGCTACCCCCTCCTCCAGGGCAGATGTACAATTCACACCATCTCCCTGCCTTCCTCTTGCACAGGATGAAAGGATGTTTACAAAGTGAGGACCCTAGTCCCTTGCTGAGTAGCTTAGTTTAGAAGTTTACTTCTAAACTTCTCAAGTTAACACAGTGTATCAACCATTACATCCTGTGTGATCCTTCACTAAAACTAACAAAAGATAGCCTCAAAAAGACTTTGGCAGTCTCTTCTGTACTATTCCCAAATACCTTCACCTTAAAGAAGCGTTTGTCAAGCTCAGGAAAACCTAGGCTGGTAATGTAGGCATTCTCTCCCAACAGTGCCCAGAGTTCACTTTCAATCTTTTTTGTATTTCCTTTTACATTTGGAGGGCAAGAGTCATCCTGGTGGAAGCAGACTTAGTGCCTTCACCCTGTGATATATACCATGGTTCTTAAGTGTGTTCTACACTCCAACTTCAGACTCCAAAATGATGTGACTCACGAGAGTTGGTAGCAACGCCTCAAGGCAGTAACTCCAAAGAAGGGTGGCAGAATCAAAAAATCAGTCTGGTTGGTGGGCAGAAATTCTGCCTTGAATCTGCCTTTAATTACTATAAGCTTTCCAAATCTAGTAGAAATTTACAATCTTTTTGGCAATCTTTATTTCATTGTCTATCTGGAAGAATTTACGGAGTTTCTCTGACTCCCTTAATGTTGATGTGTTGTTTTTGATACCACAAAATAACACTATGTTGTTGGGAACAGTTATCCTTTTAAATTTCCTTTACTATGTTTGTTTTATTCTTAAAGCCTTAAACATGTAGGCTAGGGTGACTGGAATAGAATTGAGGTCTCTTATTACTGAATGGAACTTCAGAGGCATAGGACTTGTACTTATGCCAATAAAAACCCGAGTTATGGTTGATTTTAATGTAACTCGGATTGGAGAGGCCGAGGGCGGACCTAGTTCTGGATAAGCATCCGGATGTATGTGCAGCTTCAGCATCTCACCATGTGTGTACAGTATGTGGCAGGGGCGGGGAGAGGCTGATTCCTGTCCCTCTCTGTCCCATAGGTATTGCCTTTCGCCCCTGTCTTCGCCTAAGTATATTAATAAAAGGCATCACTTCACATACTAGTGCTCAGTTCCAAAGAGAGGAAGGCAGCAGCTTGGCAGGTGGGCAAGTAACAGGGAGATGGGTGGGGGTGTAGGCGGAGGTATCGTCGAGTGGCGTTCAGAGTAACCAATCACAGCTCAAGGTATGGGCGGTAGGGGTGGAGGCGCTGAGGCTGTTTAGCCAATAGGGGGCGAGCAACTACTGGAGCGACCTGATGACGTGAAGAGCGTTCCATTCGGCCAGCGGTGGGCGTTTGCCACAGCTGGTTTAGGGCCCGGACTACTGGGGCTCCTTGTCAGGAGGAGGCAGCTTCCCGGCTGGGAAGAACTCGCTGCCTCCTTTGGTGGCCGACGCTGTCCTCTGGGACGGTCCACTTCCTTCCCTCCGTAGCGGGCCGAGTTAGGTCTCCCACGTTCAGGTAACAAGGGGTGGGGGTGGGGGTCTCGGGCTCGGCTGCGTGGTGGGCTGCCTCCCCTCAGCCGCGCGGGTACTCGGGGACGTTGGCACCGCCCTTCTCAACTCGCCAGCTGCCGAGCCCCAAGGCCCGGGGTGACTACACGTGGCGGGGCGTGTGTGAGCGTGTACGAGCGTGTGGGTGCGTGTGCGTGTGGATGTGGCGCGCGTCCCGATCTGCCTGGGGCGGTGGTCCGCGGCGTGGCGAAGGCTGGGCGGTCTCCAGAGGCCGCGGCCGCGGCCCAGCGCGGGGCTCAGGCCGCGGGTACCTGGTCAGGGGGCCGGTCGCCGCAGCTGGACAGATTGTGATCTTTGTTTTCCCAGGCCGGGTTCCCCTTCCTGGTCAGTCTTCTCCCGCTGAGCTGGGTTTTGAGAAGGAGATTGGTTTTCAGGTTAGTTTTACACAAAGGCAGTGTTCTCTGCACCTCTGTTTCTCTTTCCCTTTCCCCAATCTTTCTACCTTCTCTTTTCTCTGCTCGAAGTCGTCCTTTGGACCTTTGCTCTTTCCTCCCAGGGGAATGATCTCCACTTGGGTGTTTCTCTCGCAGTCAGCCAGGCTGCTAGCTTCCGCCCTGGGGCTTGTGGTGTCTGTAAATAGAGGCCACAGCCCCACACCTGAGAGGAGAAAGAAGGCAGCGGCTGAGAAAGGATAGGCCTGGGAATTCAGGATGCCCAGTAGAGGTGGTACTTATAAAATGTCCCAGAAAGCACCCTTGTGACTTATCTTAGCTGCTGCTCCCCACCCCCTACCCATCCATTACCTGTCACCAGCCATTCCAGAATGTCTCCTGCTTAAGTGAGCCTTTCACCTACAGGTCCCCATGTGGTTTTATTAAGATTCCCACAAATGTTAGGCTAAACCAACAAAGATTGTTTCATTTCCTAGACTCAGGAAGTTATAGACAGTTGGATTAGGGGAAATGCGTTGTGTGTAAATATGATACGGGTACATATAGAGTGCCAGACCTCCTAATCCTGCCAGAGAGTGACTCGTTCCTTGGTGTGATTCATATTTGAGTGGCTAATTGAAGGTGAAGAAGTGGAGGAGGGCAAGGAACAGCTCCTTAAGAACAGAGACTTCCCTATTATTTTTAGAGCCTTTTTAATGAAGATTAAAGAATGTTTTGCTATAGTGGAAAATACCCTGACTGGAAGGCAGCAGGTGTGTTTTCTTGTGTCAGCTTTGCTTCTCCATGACCCTGGAGAAATTATTTTCTCTGATTCTCAGTTTACTCATTTACAAATAAAGTAATTAGGATAATCACTGTAAAATCTATTCTAGTTTCAAGGGTCCAAGACTCAAATCATCGGTATTAGTTTGGAAGCATAGAATTTAAGAAGTACTAGCCTCCTTTTTTGGAGAACCTTTAATGGTTTCTTCTTTTAGAGGACAAACAGATTGGAAATAAACTTTTCCCGCTTCTCCATCTCTACTCCTTCAAGCAGCGTTCATCTTTATGGTTCTAGCAAAGGAGGTTTGAACTGCATCTTGTCTCATTTTTCCCTCTTTTGTGCTTTCTCTTAGGACTAGAAATTGGACTTTTGATGATGTTTGACCCAGCAGCGGCAGCAGTAGGCAACGTGATTTTGAAGCTGGTCTCAGCCACTGTTTCTTCTCTCTTGTAATCACAAAGCCCATTTTGGACTAGGAATTCCAATCATGTCTGTGATGGTGGTGAGAAAGAAGGTAACACGGAAATGGGAGAAACTCCCAGGAAGGAACACTTTCTGCTGCGATGGCCGTGTCATGATGGCCCGGCAAAAGGGCATCTTCTACTTGACCCTCTTCCTCATCCTGGGGACGTGTACACTCTTCTTTGCCTTTGAGTAAGTTTTCTGATTATTGATTAAGTATTTTTGGCATTCAATTTGAAGCCGATGCAGAGAAAATGAGAGAGATAAGGAGACAAAGGAGGAGGGCTTTAATGTGGGCATGGGAGAGCTTCATGGGGCAGGGGATACAGAGGCTCTCAAATGAGAACAAAGAAGTGGGACTATTTTTATCAGTTTTGCCTGGGGGAGGAGTTTGGGAGGTGGGCAGAATGACACATTAGCTGCTGATTTGAAGGCGCATCTGCCTGTATAAAACTGGAGACAGAAAGATTTACTGGGGGCTGGAGGTGGAGGTTTGGGTGGTTGTGGAGTCTTGGGATTAGAAAGGGCTCAGCACACACACAAAGAAGGAGCGGGAGGTTTATCTCCGGAATGAGAAGAACGTAGAAGGTACACTTGGAGAGATAAGTTGTTTCTCTGGTCTGGTACCAAGTTGGGAGGATGTAGCTAAACCCCAGGCTAGCAGGACCTATCAATTATGAGTAGAGTTGTCTGATTATGGTTACTTTGGGTCAGGGAAAAGAACCTTCTTTCTTGAGGAATTTGTGGCCAGTCTTTGGATGACGTTTACTGTCCTCTTGAACAATGAATGTCTATAGATAATATCAACTGAGCTCATTGTTATGTGGTTATAGCAAAGTGTGAGATAACTACAAAGACCAAGGTTTTGATACTAATTTTATAGTACTGATTTGGGATTACCCCTGACAAACTTGGAAAATAAGGGAGTTTGTTGTAATTACTCACCTCCCCCTTCCAATGACAGGAGCTTAGTCACAAACTGCCTCCTCTCTACTCCTCCCAAGTCTCAGGGTACCACTTAACAAACAATACTCTGTTATTCTGGGTCCTGTATTCTTAAGCTGCTAGCTGGCTATTAAGTTGAAAAACCAAGTAAATTGGGAATCTGAAGATTCATTCTAGCCTCAGCTGTACCATAAAGGAGCTGGGAGCACAGCACATAGGTGCTTTTTAACAGTGAGTTGATCTTTCCCTCGAAGTCATTCAGTATAAACAGCTCTCCATTCTGTGTATGCCTAATGTCATCCTTGAAGTTATGTTTTTTGTGTGTGTGTGACATAATAGCTAGTACTGGAGCCACTGTTTGAAGTTTGTGTAGGTCATTGCTCTAGGGAGGTGGCCAGTTGGATTCTAGGGCAGTGTGGCATGATGACGGGGTATGCTGAGAATGCTCTACACTCTAGGGATGAGAACAGTGCTAATTGTTTTGGGATTACTATAAGCATGCCTTCCTGTAAGAGGTGGAAGCCACGCCTGATATGATCCTGTCATGGTTCAGGTACATTGGTGACCTGGAAATGGAGCTTTCATGCTGGGGCATGGCCAGAGGAGGTAGGAGGGGATCTTTGGCCTTACTTTATGGGTAATTAAAATGGACTCCAGTCCCTTGGGGCCCATTTTTTTGTATTTTGAGGGCTGCAGGCTTTCCCAGAGCATCCAGAGTGATTTTCAGGCTGCTTTGCCAGACTTTTTGATGGTTTTAGCTGGCTTGAGTAACAGCAGGGGAAAGAGGGGTTTATAACAGGGCTGGCTAAGTAAGGTCAGAGGAGCTCTTTGTTAAAGGCCTTTTTGCCATTGCTGCTATTATTGCTGACTTTGTGAAGTATTTGGTGAAGTTGAGCAGATTGCTGAAAGCTTGTTAGCTGCTTTTCTATATGAGTCTCATGGCTGAGTGTGTGTGCACTCGTGTGCATGCACCAAATAATTGTGTGTGGTATATATGAGTATGTGCAGTCAGGCAGGCATAGTGTCATGTAAAACAATTTGTTTCCCTTTTCCTCACCCTTTTCCCCGAATTTTTCTCCTCAGATTTCCTTTGCTTTATTCCTGTCTTATTAGAAAGACAAAGCTGAACTCTACTCCTCTCTCTCCCCTCTTTTCTCCCTCTTCTCTCTCCTCTCTTCTCTCTTTCCTCTTCTCTCTCCTCCCTCTCTTCTTTCTCATGCTAGGGCTTGAACTCAGGGTTTTGTGCATGCAAGGCAAGAGCTTTACCACCGAGCCATATCCCTAGCCCTCTACTATTATTCTTTTTCACTTTTTTTTATTCCCCCTACCTCTGTAGTTAAATTTTTATGATTGGGATCATTCATGATACAGATGGAATTTGGTTCCAGGTTGTCAATGAGTTGGTAGCCTTTGGCCCAGGAAACCTCTGGCTTGACTGGCCAGGACAACCTGTAATTTGGAGTAATTGTTATTTGGCCTTTTTTTGTATCTGGGAGTCAGTGAGAGATCACTCATGATAGAAATGGAATTTGGTTCCAGATTATCAATGAGTTGGTAGCTTTTGGCCCAGAAAACCTCTGGTTGACTGGCCAGCACAACTTGTAATTTGGAGTAATTGTTATTTGGCCTTTTTTTTTGTATCTGGGAGTCAGTGAGAGATCATTCATGATAGAGATGGAATTTGGTTTCAGGTTGTCAATGAGTTGGTAGCTTTTGGCCCGGGAAACCTCTGGTTTGACTGGTCAGGACAACTTGTAATTTGGAGTAATTGTTATTTGGCCTTTTTTTTGTTTCTGGGAGTCAGTGAGAGACTCTGCCTTGGATCTGTTCCACTTAGGCCCCTGAAGGCCTCTGAAGAAAGCTGCCCATGGGATGAAACTTATAATTAGTCAGGTTATTATTTGATAGAGTCAGGTTGAGTATTTTCTGAGACAACTCCCTGTTCTAACTGATTCCTTGTGTTTTGCCTGTAGCTACAAAAGGTGAGATTGTTTGTGAAACTGCCTTTAGTTACAGCTATTTGTGTGAATGGGTAAATATTTTGAAGGTATGGCTGAGAAAGAAAGAAGAGAAGGAGGCAAATAGATTGGTTGAGGAATGGAATGGGAAAATATAAAACTTACCAAAAAGGGGAGAACTCTGCTGATAAACCCTTTTTACTGACAGTGGTAGAATCTGTCTGTCTTTCTCTTTCTCTGTATATCAGTCCTATATAGCCAGATGGGTATTCTAGCTGGTGGCTGCCTTGTGCCTAGCCAATGACAGGCTGTATAAAGCATACCAACATGCCTCTGAGGAATTAAATATCATTCTGATGGGTCTTTTTTTGAGTCTATAATTTACTTTCAGCCAGATAGTGGAGGGTAGGGCTTGAGGGGCTGAATATGGGCTCCATTCTTAATATTAGAACCTAATGAGACATCAGTAAATTAGCTGATCTAGCCTCCTGCCTTCAAGCAAGTAGGGTAAAATTTTCTAGGAACATAGACTTGCAATCTTCTGGCTGCTGCCATTTTGCCTTGTGGGAAGATAGTGCAACTCTTTTTTTCTTTTTGAGACAGTCTTACTTTGCAGTTCAGGCTGGCTTTGAACTCACCTATATAGCCCAGGCTGGCCTTGAACTCATAGTGATGTTGTTGCCTCAGTCCCCTGAGTGCTGGGATTATAGGCATGTGCCACCCCAGCTGGCTCTTGTTTTTTGGTGTTGTGAGACAGGGTCTCACTATGTTGTCCAGGCTGAACTTGAACTTACTGTAGCCCAAGCTGTCCTAGAACTTGCAACAGTTGTATGTCTTAGCCTTCTAAGTGCTGGGATTATAGACGTGTGCCATCATTCTTGGCTTAGGTAGTCCAAATCTTGAGACACATATAGATCTGTGTTTCAGTGACAGGGTCCTGCTTGAAGCAGGTGCTTAGGAACCAGTGTAAGTTGATTTACAAGTACCTGTGACACAGCTCTGGGTCAGCCAGATGGCTTGAGAAGTCTAGGCAGGCATGTGGGTACCCATAATGAAAAACTTGCAGTGTTAGTGCCAATAGAAACCTTGTAGTTTGAGATTTTGCCTGTGTAAATTTTGATTTTTTTAGCTCTATAATTTTTAGTGAATAGACAGTAGGTTGAATACAAAACAAAAAAGGTTGCTCACCCAGAAACTAGTGAGCTGTGAATTGTTACAAGTGTTTTGGAAGAAGCTGGGTGGCCATTCTTCAGAGCTGCTGTCACTGAGCTATACAATCACTAAACTATTTGCAACTCTAAGAATCTGAAATTCCATATAACTCTGTGTGTGGAAGATTCAAATACATACAAAAGGAGAGTATAGATTACCAGTAGATAACTGTATTTAGATGTAATTATATTCATGGGGGATATATTTAAATTCAGAAGCATTGTGAAAGTTGTATAATGCTTAAAGAAAAAGGATTTCCTAATTAATTCTGAGGGTAGGGTATTTAGGAAATGTGATTGTGTATGCCAGTGTCAGCTTTGAGTATAGGGACCATTCTCAATTTTTTTCTGCTAAAACTCTGTCCAGCTTGTGTGGTAAACATGTAGCCATCAGTTTAGCCTACAGTGTTATGGCACTACAGTAGAATGATACTGACAACCTGTGAGCTGTCTAGCTACTGAAAGACTGTTGCGATATTTGATCAAAGTCCTGGTAAAGCTTGGTGCTCAGGGAAAGGATCAAATGCACTGTCTTCTGGAATTGGCTTCTGAGCAGGCTTTTCTTGTGGTAAGAATGGTGTGACTTGACTGCTGAAATGCAAGCAGCTTGTTGCTAATTGTCAGTGTTTATGCTTTTACTGTACTGTATATGGAAGAAATCATGTCAAGGTGCTGTCACACCAGTTTATCTCAGGCTTGGCCTCGTAGGTACTTTTTATTTTTGTTTTTGACAATACTGGGGATTGAACCTAGGCCTTCACACTGAGCTACCCTTTTTTCACATTTTATTTTGAGTCAGGGTCTCATTAAGTTGTCCGAGTTGAACTTGAACTTGTGTCTTCCTGCCTTAACCTCTTAGAGGGCTGGGATTACAGGCATGTGCCACTATAGCCATCTTTAGGTGCTTCTGATGTAATATATTGTCAGAGGAGTCATTGAATTGGAAGAACCAAAAACAGGCTTTGTAGCACTGCTTGATAATTGTCCCACTTCTAGTCCATTCAAATTCTATTTCTCTTTCAAGTTGTGTTAATTGTACATTCCACTCATTGTAACAAAACATGTCGCATTTCTTACA